GGAAGTCCGTAGAGGAATTAGGCTTGAAATATCGAAAGTTTAATTTTCAAGAAGTTTGACCGGAGGGTTGACTTTTTGATATCGGGGTCGGAATCTGATTCTAAAAATTTGAATACCTCTGTTATGTTATTTATGACTTGTGCGCAAAATTTGAGTTCAATCGGACGTGATTTTATAGGTTCCGGAGTCGTTTATAGAAATTTCAAATTTCATTAGGCTTGTGTAATTCATGGTTTTAGCGTTGTTTGAGGTGATTTGAGGATTCGACTAAGTCCGTATGATATTTTAGGACTTGTTGGTATATTTGGTCGAGGTCCCGAGGAGCTCGGGTGAGTTTCGTATGGTTAACGGGTTGGTTTTTGGATTTGAAACTCTGCTGGAATTTTTCTGATGCACCATCTGGTTTCCTTCATCGCGTTCGTGAGTGGAGCCTCACGTTCGCGAAGAGGAACTGAGAGGCTGGCAATATTTGTTCTTCGCGTTCGCGAAGAGAAGAACGCATTCGCGAAGGGTGGACAAGGTGTGCATCCGCGAGGGATGTTACGCGTTCGCGAAGAAGAAAGGAAGCAGCTGAGGACCCCCGGCAATTGGTCTATACGTTCGCGTAGGGGGTGTCGCGTTCGCGTAGTGAGGGGGGAACGAAGCATCGCGTTCGCGATGGGTTGAACGCGTTCGCATAGAAGGCATTGAGGCAGAGGCATTTTGTGCTTCGCGAACGCGAGGGTGATGTCGCGTTCGCGAAGGAGAAATTTGGACGGGAGATATTTTGTGCTTCGCGAACGCGAGACAATGACCGCGTTCGCGAAGAAGAAAAGCCTGGGCAATGAGTTTAAGTTCTGAGTTTTTGACGATTTGAAACTCGGATTTGAGGCGATTTTGGGTGATTTTCAGAGAAAATAACGGGATAAGTATTTTTAACTCAATATTGGTTAAATTACCCGAATTTATGATTGTTTTTATCATTTAATTGGTGAATTGAGTTGGAAAAATTTGAAAACCCTCTTGGTTTAAATTGAAGATTTGAGGGACCAAACGATGTCGGATTTTGATGAATTTGGTATGTTTAGACTCGTGAGTGAATGAGCTTTCTAGTTTTGTAAATTTTGCCGGATTTCGAGACGTGGGCGCGGGGGGCGGGTTTGAGCCAATTTTTGGTTTTGGTCTAATTTGATAGTTTTTCTTGTGGAATTCATTCCATTAGCGTATATTGATGGTATTGTACTGATTGTGAATAGATTCGGAGCATTTGGAGACCGAGTCCAGAGACGAGGGCATCCCGGAGTAGGATTTTTACGTTGTTAAGGTAAGTAACAGTTTTAACTCTGGCTTTGAGGGTATAAACCCGGAGATTTGACATCACGTGATTGTTTGGAAGTGATACCCATGTTAGGTGACGAGCATGTGGGTGTGCACCGCGAGGAATTGAGACTTGGTCCGTCCCGTGAGACTGTGAGGCCTAATGGCTATTATCTATGGTTATGTATTTATTTGTTGTTGAACTTGTTTGCCTTCATGTTAGAGATCATGCTTAGGCTTTATTCATGCTTACATTATTTGTACTCAGTCATAGAAATTATTGTACATGTTTACCTCAGTCTCTATTATTTGCTAATATGCGGTGATACTTGATTTGGGCTGTGTTCCCTTATTTGTTGGTGATGATGAGACTAGTGAGGTACATGATTGAGTGAGGCCGAGGGCCTGGTTGTGAGGATATTAATACCATAGCGCGTGAGTTGTCCGCGTAGAACGTGAGTTGACCGTGCGGATCCAGGTATTGATACCATAGCGTGTGAGTTGTCCGCGTAGTACGTGAGTTGACCGTGCGAATTCAAGTATTGATATGATGGCACGTGAGTTGTCCGTGCTTAGCGCTTGGGCTTTGGGAGCCCCTCCGGAGTCTGTACACACCCCTAGTGAGCGCAGAGTGTTGAGTGTTTTGAGTATTGAGTGCCGAGTGATGAGGGATGGAGTGATACTGCTGTGAGGTTATATTTATTTGTGTTGTTGCTGCATTTATCTGTTAAACTTCTTTGTGGCATTTACTGAGTTATGGAATTTACCTGTTTATTTCTGTTTATTTTTAAATTGTGAAAATAAATAATTGGACTGTTTTACTTAGCTCGTCACTATTGCTCAGTTCCTTAATTATTTCTGTTACTTGCTGAGGTGGTTGTACTCATGCTACACCCTGCACTTTATGTGCAGATTCAGGCGAGTTAGAGCGCGGCGATCGTTGAGTTCAGGTCGACTATCTGTGGAGATTGCAAGGTAGCTGCTAGCGTCCGCAGGGCCTTGTTACTCCTTTTATCATTTCTTCTTTTGGATTGTATTGATAGTTAGACAGTTTCATTTCTTAGTTCATAGAGTTAGACGCTCATGACTTAGTGACACCCCGATATTTGGGGCTCATTTCCGTATTTCTAAAATTATATTTAGAGTTGATTTAGTTTATAAGAAATTCAAATGTTGAAATATTTTATTAAATTCTTATAATCGGTTTAGTAGAAATATTTTGGGAAGTAGGCTTGCCTTGTAACACGATAGGCGCCATCACGACCATGGTCAGATTTTGGGTCGTGACAGTTTACTAGCAAACTTAATTAAGTTTTGGTTAGTGAAATAGTATTTTCTAAAAATTGAAGGCAGTAAACGTTATTAGTAATTGAGATTAAAAAAAGCAGAAAAGAAAATTTCTAACTCATAAAATCAAAATTCTGTATCAAAATTATTCAAAGTTGCAAGTCGAAAGCTATATTTTTCCAAATTATAAAAGGACTAATAACAAATAACATTAGATCTTTGTTTAATATTAATTACTATGTATATATTGTCTTGGTCCACAACTAAAAAATATACCTGAGTTTATCTATCTATCTATCTATCTTTTTTTAATAAGAATAATACTCATATAAATTAAAATAGAGGAAATAATATTTATATAAATTTTTAAAAATTGAACAATATATAAACACGTGCAAAACGCGTACCCTAAAGTTAGTAGCTAATAAAAGCAATTGAGTAGTTAGTCATTCATCAAGTCTTGGTGCTTTCTATTTTATAACCAGGAAATACAAAAAAAAAAAAAAAAAAAAAAAAAAAAAAAAAAAAAAAAAAAAAAAAAAAAAAAGGAGAAACAAATTAAGGTAGGTGATTATGGGTGGACGGAATGCTTTTCGATTTGGTTAACGTCGGAAAGTTGCGGAAGAAAGAGATGTTTTATTTTTCTATATTTCCTTTTTTTTTAATTCCTTTTTAGCCTTTAGATTCTTTATCCTATAGGAATATATCAGATAGATTTTGATACCAGAAAAGTTGCTGGTACACAGTCTTCCTTTCATTAAAGAGTATAAAGAGAAGGTTAAATGTATAGCCCTAAACAGACAATACTATATACAGTACATAGTGTAGAGAATAGAAACATGAGTTTAAGAAACAAGAAAAAAAAATTAGTACTAGGAATGACTGAGCAAGAGGGGAAAAAAAGGAGTTTCTAGGTATTCCACCATCCGTTTTATTTTATGAGATATTGTTTATTTAGCCTGTCTCTAAAAAATGATGCATTCTTATGGTTAAATTTTTTACCTTTCAATTTTTTCAATTTTCTATGGTACTTTTGATACGGGTATTTTTTGTTTTTAAATTCCGTGCTCTATCATACACAGGTGGGATATCATTCATAGAAAATTAGAAGATAATGCGTTTTTTTCATTTATTTTGATTCTATATCCTTTTTAGTATGTTAAAAAAGAAATGATCTTTTTCTAAATTTAAAATAATTTAACATAATTTTTTGTATTATACCGTTAATAATAAAACTTTACAGTCATACTAATGTTATAACATACTATTTAAATTGTAAATTTTAAAAAGTTTATAACCACACGAATATTATAATATACTATATGTAAAATCACGTACATATTTCAAAAAAAAATTTATCTCTTTCTTAAACAGGATCACATAGTATACAACGTTTGGGGGGTTGGGGGGATGGGAAAGTTGGGTTGAGGAACGGGGATCTAGCCATCTAGCTAGAACTAGGGGATGGGTGCGTTTATTAACGTTGGTGTGGCTGCTTTCGGCTTATTCTTCCCAAACTAGCCTCGTCTATTACTGTATTCAGCAGCTAAAAGACGAATGTGAATAGCACTCCAAAAATTTATTATTTGTATATCATGCCCCCTTATAATTTTAAAAATAATCTTTTTAGATTTTTCAAGTACAAAAATATATTTTTTATGAATAAAAATAAATCCTTCTTGAATAAACAATAAAAAGATAGGATCATAAAACAAAAAAGAAGAGCTCCACGTAAACAAAACAAAAAATCTACTAATACTACTAGTACAACTTCCAACTAGTTAATAGAGGAGACATCATCATCTCTCTCTTCTGAAAATCTTTCCTCATCGACTTAGCTAGCGTTTGGTCATAGATTTTCAAATTTATTTTGAAAAATCTGATTTGGGTGAAGTTTGGTTTGAAAATTAAAATATGTTTGGACATCTGTCTTGGGTGAAGTTTGGTTTGGAAAAACATGAAACATGACTTATACCCACAAGTTCTAAAAATTATCACAAATACCCAACAGTACTATTATCAATAACATTCATTATATTATCGCAAACCATAGTCCTGAACATAAATAAATTTGATACAAAATTATCATTTTTATAATGAACTACATGATACACAATCAGATGACCGAGAAGACGAAACAACATCGTTACAAAATAATAAATGATAGGCTCTTTTATAAAATACAAAAGTTTGGGGCAATTTTTAAAAAATATAATAGTGATATTTTGGCCAGCTGATTTTGGGATTTGGGATTTAAAACTTGGGATTTGGCCAAAATATAGGAAAAATTTATGACCAAATATGTATTTGCCAAATAAAATTCAAGTTTATTTTGACAAAATCTATGGTCAAACGGTTCTTAATATCTCTATAAGTAGGTTTTCATGTTCATTCAATTCTCAGCAAAAACTCTTCACTTTTTTTTTTCTACATTTCCTATTCAAACTCTTCCATACACATTTATTTAGACAAACGTGCAAAACAGGTCATAGGAATATTTATAGGTTAGGCAGCAACTAAAAACTAGTCTTTGTACAAACCATAACCATAGCAATAAGAGCTATAACTGCCCCTTTTTTCTACCTCTTTCACGGCAACCATTCATTCTTCTTTTGTCTATAAATCGCCTTCATTATACTGAATCGAATTCGACATTTAGCTTCTTACCATTGAACCCGTTGCTCTTCTGAAATCATGGGTTTATAGTTTAATATTTGGCAAATTTTTAGTGATTTTCACATTTATTTTTATATTTCTATTTCAAAAATATTGTGATCAGTTGAACCATTAGTTATACTCTCCTTCCTTCTCAGGACCTTATAAGGAGAGGAACTTTGCGTTCTTAATTAGCTTATTTGTGTTATAGAAAAAAATGTGGAATCTAAACGATTCTCCCAATCGACGAATGGAAGATGAATCAGAAGAAGGTTGTTCTTCTCCTATTGAACTTGATGAGAAAGGTAAACGGGTCGGATCGGTCCCAAATTCAAGTTCATCAGCTTTGGTTATTGAGGAAGGTAATAATTCTGAGGAAGAAGAAAATGGTGAAAAAGGTAAGAAAAAGAGAAATACACCTAGTAAAATATTTGGGTTTTCAGTTAACGATAACAACTTCTCGTCGGAGAGTGAAACGCCGGTTACTCGGCAGTTTTTTCCGGTTGATGAGTCAGAAATGGGAGGTGGGTCCATAAATTTTCCGACGGCTCAATGGGCTGGAGTTCAATTTTGTCAATCAGAGCCACGTGGCACCACTATAGTGGGAAACCCTACTGAGGTGTCTCAGCAGCAGCAGCAGCCAATTAAAAAGAGCCGCCGTGGACCGCGGTCTAGGAGTTCGCAGTACCGTGGTGTTACCTTTTACCGGCGGACTGGCCGGTGGGAGTCACACATATGGTTAGTATCATTTTTTTCTTTGTAATAGTGTAATTTTATGTTGGGCAGTATAAAAAATTTTTACACTATTGATTAAGTTGACTTATAAGAATATGTAATACATTCGAAGTATCAAGTATGATATGATGACTTAGAGAATGGAATAAATAACTCATTAGAATTGGTTACCTAAATTACACTAATAGTGTATAATTTTTTTATTGTCTGTGTATATAATTCAATATTTTCTCTCAATATTGTTCATTCACATTTTTCGTGGTGTTCATTCTCCCAACTGAATTATTTATTTATCCAGACCTGATTTCTTTGCTAATTTTGGTGCAGGGATTGTGGGAAACAAGTTTACCTAGGTATTTTTTTTTTCTTTTAATTTTTTTTAATTAAATTGAAGTTTTTAAATTTATCAAGATTCTTTTGCTATTGTTTATGTTCTTGAAGATCAATCTGATATTGGTGAACGGGGGTTTATTTTCCTCGGGTATCATCTGTGTAGGTGGATTTGATACAGCACATGCAGCAGCGCGGTGAGCTCTTGATTCTTGACTGTAATTTTCAATTTTCTTTGTCTCCAACATAAGAGAAAGGATGTATTTGGTACGAGAAATATTATTAGTTCCGTCATACCACATACATCCAAAAATTAAAAATTAAATGTTTTGGAGAATGAAGGTTGGTAATGTTGTGTTACAGTGCATATGATAGAGCAGCAATCGAGTTCCGAGGAGTGGAGGCAGACATAAACTTTAATTTGGAGGATTATGAGGCAGACTTAAAACAGGTAGGTCACGATCGGCTGACATAAAATCATAATTTAAACTTTATGGATTCAACATTTAAGATCGTTGATACTCAACTTATTGCACATTTTAAATTATAATTATGATATTTATTAAAAGTTTAGTGATTTATAACATATAGTATACTCTATGCGCCTCTGATGATCAGATCAGAGTGGCAGACTAAGAATGCATGCCTATGTTTGAGTCTGTCTGGTTGGACTACTTTAGATTTCACGCTTGCCTTATCATAAACAGTTGCCTACATACCTTATCATCAACAGTAGTTTGCTTCACATTTTTGGTGTCAAAATTTAGTGGACACAATGAAATTGGAAACATAACTGTTGACATTCTTTTTTTTTGAATAATTTGTTTATCTTTTTGGGGTATGTTACAGATGACCAATCTAACCAAGGAAGAATTTGTGCATGTACTAAGGAGACAAAGTACTGGTTCTCCTAGAGGAAGCTCCAAGTATAGAGGGGTGACTTTGCATAAATGTGGTAGATGGGAAGCTAGAATGGGACAGTTCTTAGGCAAAAAGTAAAGTAAAAAAAATAACTCATCCTCATTTTATTTTATTCTCCTAGATGATTGAATAAATTTTCAAGGAATGCTCCTTTTTGGTATGTGTTTGGTACGACTGAAAATTTTTTCGAAAAATATTTTTAATAAAAAACTTTGTCTCGCTATCGAACATTTTTTTAAAAATATCTCAAATGGACTATCAAAGAAAAACATAAAAGTGAAGAAAGTCATTTTTTCCCTTTTAATTGGTTAAACTAATTTTTAGTGTTTGATTACTGGAAAATTACTCAATTTCTGAAGAATATTTTTTCTTCGTACCAAAGACACCCTTTTGTCAATTAATATTCCATTCCTTGCTTGCTATATTGACTTCATTATTGAATTATTTTCGAACAGGTATGTTTATTTGGGTCTCTTTGATACTGAAGTTGAAGCTGCTAGGTGTGTAATTGTAGTGCCTAATTTATTCTTCTTTCTCTACTATTAATTAGTTGTATTTTTTGCACTAAAATAAAACTACTACAACTAACTTATTAGAAGGTGAGGGCCTTAAAAAAAATTTACTGTTGGGAGCTAAAGTTTACACTCTTTTCTTTCTTCTTTAATAGGGCTTATGATAAAGCTGCTATCAAGAGTAATGGGAAGGATGCAGTTACTAACTTTAATCGTAGAATTTATGAAAATGAACTTAACTCAACTGGTAAATTACTCTTTTATTTGCTAGCTTTTCATTTGGTCTGAGTCTGCTGAAATGTTGCAACATATTATTTACACTGTTAGTATACATAAATTAATTATTTTTGAAGTAAAAGCTTATGCAAAGCATTGATAAATGTACTTTTTCCAGAATCTGCCGATAATGCAGCCGACCACAATCTTGACTTAAGCTTAGGAGGTTCAAACTCAAAGGAAAGAAGCCGAGATATGGGGGATAATAGGGGTCAAAATTCATCATCTTTGCAATTAGATGCCCCTTGGCAGCACCAAGAGTCGAGGTCTAAGGTACATACATAATATTGCTAGCTTTATTTCTTGCATTATTTACTGTGTAAGCTAGTAGATGGCAAGAATCATATCCAGAATTTGAAGTTTGTGGTTTCCTACAAAGCTTTAACGATATATACAATAATAACTGAATTCATAATTAAATTTTTATCGATATTTAGTAAATTTCTTATTTTATATACGAGGTACGAGCAAAAGCTACTTGCGTCACGAAACCCATATATTACATGCTAGAACGACGACTTCTTCATTTTCAATATTTCAAACTTCATTTGCGTTCCATCAAATGTTTATGTGGCTTTCTTTTGAACTGTCGTATGTATTGAAATCGAGTACTATCATATGTGACTCTTTTTGTAGTAGTACTTAGATATCAAGTTTTAATTTCATGCAGCTAACTAGTCCAATTGGTTTTGATGCCCAAAGAAGAGATGGGTATAATGAAACTGAAACCTTGCAGCTCTTGAGCCAAACGCATCTAAATTCTCCAGGCTTTTTGCAGCCTAATATTAATGAAATGCAAAGAATTGGCCAATTTATTAGATATGGTGAATCCCATATGGTTCAAGTGTTTCCACCACAGTTCAGCTCATATCAAGTGAGTTCCCAGTTCTCTATCATTACAACAGTGGCTGTACATATATGCAAGATTTTATATATATGTATCCCATGTTTTTAAAACTTGTCTAAATTATTGTACATACTTGCTTTCGTCATTTTCAAATGTTGTTTGAACCAATCAAAAATAGGTGTCAATTTAGGGAATCAAGAAGGTTTTACTTTCCTTTTTACGAAATTTACTCTTACTCCGATAAATAATCTATACTGCAATTTATTAAATCTCCCAAAAATAATTCTCTTTTTGAGGAGAGATGAGAGAGTTACTTAGTTAAACTTGACTAAATAACCCTTATGATGAATTTCTTAATAAATGTGTCAAAACCTATCAGGAAGTAATATAAATTGTTAGAATTGTGTGACCCCAGCACTTAAAAAGAAGGTGAAATATTTTTTTGCTTATCAAGTGACATTGAGATTTGAACCCATGATCTCTTATATACTCTAATACCATTTTAAATTTTGCAACTATTTTATTTTAAATTTTAAATATTTAGAGCGCACATTTAATTACTGAATTATACTATGTCTCAATACAGATTCAGTCTCCAAGCAGCAGTAATGTAGGCCGAATTGGGGGTACAAATTCTCAAGAATGGTACCCTAATAATATTCCTCCTCAGATATTTGCAACTGCTGCAGCATCATCAGGATTCCCCCAGCAGATAGTAAGACCTCAAAATTGGTCTCAAAATACTGGCTTTCATCATAATTTTATGAGACCCTCTTGACCATTAATTTTCTCCATGTGTTTTTATAAGCTTTGTAAAGAGTAAAACGTTGAGCTTCTTAATTAAAAAATACTCTCGAAAGAAACAAACAATTGGTAGTAGTATATGTTAACCAGGGTTCTTGATGTTTTGGAACCATGAAAAGAAAGGGTGGAAAAAAGTTTTGGGAAATTCCAACTCTTTGGAAAAGTAAAGTCTTAATTTTTTATATTCATTTTTTATTTAAATTAAAGTTTTGTTATTGGTCCAAATTAACTGAGAAAGATTTTCTATTAGATTTCTTCTGGAGCTTTCTTCTGGTTTGTTTATTTTTGTCTTTGTTCTTTTGACTCGTGACTAGGGGTATACATGTACCGGGTTTGTTCGATTTTTATCAACACGAAACCGAACCAACTATATCGGTTTGGATTGGTTCGGTTTTGTCGGATTTTTTGGATTTTCAGATTTTTTGTTACTTAAATATTATTTCAATCTTACTTTGTTAAATATTTTATAAGTAAATATATATTTAGTAAAAATATAAAAAATTGACAAACATATTATCGATTAAAATATTCTTATGGGAGAATTCTATTAGTAACATATATAGTTAATTTTTTTAGTCGTATGATAATATTTTTTCGTTGATGTACACTTTCAGGTCAACCGAATTTAGTAATTAAACATAAAAATCAATATGATACATAAATATAAATAAGCATTTCACATTCGAAAAAGATATAAGAATTTAATAGATCTTAACACATGATATGAATATGGAAAAACAAAGAGATAGACGCATTTCAGTAACACTTAATAAGAAAGTGATTATACAACCCATTATTTAAGGTCAATAAATATGGAGCACTTTATATTCTATTAAAATTTATATACCGCAAGAGAATTCCAAATATTTCTAGACATTTTTTAAAGAAAATTTTATATAAAATCTTAAAAGTATATACAAAAATTATATATTTATATGTCGGGTTGGTTCGGATTTTTTTACTTAATATCCAACCAAATCAAACCAAATCAAATCGGGTTTTTTAATCGGTTTGATTTGACTTTTCGGTTTGGTGCGGTTTTTCGGTTTGGTTTTTACACGCTACCTGTGACAAGCTGTATTCGTTTAAAAGTTTGTAATTTAATCGAGTAATGACGGAAAGTCGCTGATTCTTGTCCATTTCTCATTTAAGAAAATCCAATGTTCTGTTAGAAAGTATAAACTCATTTATAGTCGATTAGTCAAATTAGCTTGGATAATAAACGAATCGCTCTTGGAAACAAAATAAAAAGGAAATATATAGTTGCTTTCTTATCCTACAGTATTGGTATAGTACTAATGAACTCTTCGAAAAACAAAAACAAAATAACAAGTCTCCGGTAGAAGCTTGATGTTTGGCTAAAAATTCATATTTTTGTATTGAGTTTGCCTGGCATTATACCTAGATCTTGTTAACTTTAGTATGAATATTTGTGATTCGAGTTTAATAATGATATTTATGTGTACGTAGGAGTCAATTGGAAGTGATTTTAAAAGTTTGAATACGAATTGAAGTAAAAACGGAAGAATTTGGAGGAAGTATAAGTTTGGTGTCCAGGTTCGTTCCAGGCACCAACCAAAACGCCAAGGGCAGCAGAGCACAAAAGTGGAAAAAGTTCGGTGTCTAAATTGGCGTCAAGCGAGATGCCAAAGGGCGGATTTTGTCCTAATTCAGTTGGGACTTGGGGATTTCAACCCTACACGTCCTCAACATGTATAAAAGGGGTTCTAAACCTATGTTTGAGGGGGATCGAACATACTTTGGACCAAGGGAGAGCACGGAGCTGCCGTGGAGGCCGAAATTCATCAGATTTCATCTTTCTTCCATCAAACTTTGTAATCATTATGTTTCTTTGGATGAATTGTTATTTTGCTACCATGTTTATGAGGAGTTAAATTTTGCGTTCTAGGGTTATGGTTGTCATGAATATTGATGTTTATTAACTACATTATCATTAATTCGAGTTATCGTCTTTGGTTGTTTCTCTAATTCTGTGTATAATTGCTTAATTGTTTGGCCAGTAGTTGAGTTCTATTTACTATCTATGCTATGCTTGGGAAAGCCGTGTTTAGATTATAGTAGAATTAGAGAGAGCTTGTTTCTTAACACGTGGCTTGGGGAAAGATTTCGCGGTTAGGATAGGAATATGCCTAACAGTCTTGCTTAACTGAATACCGTATTATATTCGTTTATGATAGATTCAATACCATAGAAATATAGGATTGATATATTGTGGATAGACGTATAGTATTGTGGGAACATGCTATTTATTTGAACGATCTGGTCAACTAGCAATCATAGATAATTGGGATTAACATGTGTAATTACGAACTCAATGGGATTGGCAAACCAACCATAACCCTGGAATCTTCATCTCCTTTGATTAAAAGCCAACCACAATTGTTTGCTCCTAATTAACTTAGCTAATTACTTGTTTAATTTCTACAAAAGTAGTTTAGTAGAAAAATAATATTTTTTATTACCTTGGTAGTAAATTGATTTTTGTTTACTTAGTTAATGATTAATCTAAGTCTCTGTGGGTTCGATATCTGACTTTCGAGTCATTTTATTACTTGACGGTCACGTATATTTGCGTGTACTTGGAAAAGTAACAAGTTTTTGGCACCAAGATAGCTGGAGTGCAATGAGTTAATCTAAAAATAGTCCAAATTTCTTTTATGGTAAGACTGACACATATATTACCTTCAATTAAAGTATGGAAGTATTAAGCGGAACAAAATTCCTTTTAACTGTTGAAATTTAAATACGTATAAGAACCTTTCTTATGACTAGCGGCTTCTTTTATTGCTAATGATATGCTCTTATAACTATTGAAATGTAAATGGAGTAGTATATTTGTGATCACAAGTCTAGGTTCTTTTGGTATGTGATTAAACTTTAAAAACAAATTGTACACAATCCAAGATGTTGTATAAAATGAAACAGGAGTACAAGTGGATGGCAATGAAATGTCACAGTCGTGGTTGTCCTTTGGTAAGTTCTCATGACTAAGCAGCCAGACATGGCAATTATGTTGAGAGGGACTTAACCTAAACCCTAATTATTTCAAAGGACGTATTAAAATTGACTATTAATTATTTGTACTACATCTTTCCCATAACAGTACTTCCACTGAGTATTGTAGTACTAAGTAAGAGAAACAAATATCTTGATGCCTGTGCTTAAACCCTAATTAAGCATTAAAGATTTAATTAATGGATCCAGATGTGAAACATCGATAATCCAACTTCCAATTTTATAGTATATTATAAGTTGAGTGATAGATGAATTTAATAATGAGGTGCATTTTCATCATCTGGGGCGTCATCCTCGATTTTAAAATGTATGATTAAACACTAGAACCTTCCCTTTTTGTTTATTCATGTTATTATAGTCACATGATTATGTATTCGTTAAACAATGTTAACATTTAATGATAATTTAATATAATATAATATATTATAATACTTGCGAAGATGCTGATATTATTCGCTCTGTTTTTTTTTAAATCAGAGAGATGTGAGAGGAGGATGGTGGAGAAAAGAGTCAAAAGAATCACACCTTTATTCCTTTTAAAAAAATGTAATTTAAAATACATCTTGGTTAATGAATATTGTGAGGTAGGTACTGTTCGGATTTTAAGCTTGTGTAGCTTAAAAAGCGTGAATAAGAAATAGGGAAAAAATAAAATATTTGAGTTTCCCTCCTTGGCAAAGGGATATTATCCCATATTAGAGGAAGAAAAGGTTTTGATGGGTATATATATAATTGTTCTTCTTCTAACTCTTAAAGAGTTAAGAAGAAAGCAAGCCTCGTGTCGTCGCCATCGTCGTCGCTCGCCTCGGCCTCGGCTTCGGTCAAAGATTGATTGATTAATTTTTTTGGACAAAATTTCTTTCAATTATTTAATTAATTAATTAAATAATTAACGAAAACGCGACCCGATCCGGTCAGGCCCATTTTCTTTCCCGAATTATTTTAAATCCGTTTTCCCGCAATAAGCAACTCTATAAATATACTTTGAATCCCAGAATCTTTCCTTACGAAATTTTTTGATCTTCTTCTTCTTCTTCTGCATAAAAATTCCATTGTGTTTTACAGCCTTCGAGTGGCTCGCTGTACACCGGCGTTTTTGGTACCAACACTCCGGTGAGTTAAATCGTTCTATCCTGGGAGGATATATTCCAACACCTCGGGTACTTGAGGGGAATAATTTCTTTAAGGATACACTGTGTATTCAGTGAGCTCGATTTATTCCTGTATTATTTTTCCAGAATTTATTTCGTTAAACAAGTGTTACTAACTTTCTGTTTTGTTTATATATATTTCAGAAAGTTTAATGCTTTAATTGTTTATTACAGCGATACATATTTATAACAATCTTAAGGAAATTAATTTATTATATTCTATATTCTGTTTGTGGAGATTAAAACCTGTGTGGTTTTCTACTCCTTCTAAATTTTACTATTCTAATTTGAAGATATAAAAACTTCATCAGAGTATTGAAATTCAGAAAACGATTTGAAGAACATAAGAATTTCATTGTTTTCTGTGAAATGGTATATAAAAACTTCGGTTTTATTTATTATACGTACGGTTTGTTGTTAATAACAATATTGTTTACTGTTCTGGTTTTGCCATTAATTGAACTCTTCTGTTGTTTACAGTGAGAAATGGCAATTGATAACGGAAATTCTTCTGCGACTGTTGCGGCAACGACGATAGCCTCGTCAAGCCGGACTGTTGTTCCATCGGTAGAGAAACCGGAGAAATTTTCTGGAGCCAACTTCAAATGATGGCAGCAAAGGGTGTTCTTCTGGCTTACCACACTTGGTATGCAGAAATTCACTAGTGAAGAACCTCCAGTGCTTGTTGCGAACATGCCGGACAACGAAAAATTCATGATTGTTGAGGCGTGGAAGCAGGCAGATTTTCTTTGCAAAGGCTATATCTTAAGCGCTTTAGAGGATGACTTGTACAATGTGTAAAGTGCGATGAATACTTCGAAAGAATTATGGGACGCACTTGAGAAGAAGTACAAGACTGAAGATGCATGCTTGAAGAAGTTCGTGGTTTCCAAGTTTCTAAACTATAAAATGATAGACAACAAAACTGTTGGAACCCAAGTTCATGAGCTTCAACTTATTTTTCATGACCTTATTGCGGAAGGTATGATCGTGAATGAAGCATTTCAAGTGGCTGCAATGATTGAAAAATTGCCTCCTTCGTGGAGAGATTTCAAGAACTATCTTAAGCACAAGCGCAAAGAAATGAAGTTGGAATCTTGTGATTCATCTCAAGATTGAGAAAGACAATAAAACAACCGAGAAGAAGTCTCGTGGAAATTCAACGATCATGGGAGCTAATATCGTTGAAGAGACTGC